AAATTCATTTCTATATCTTCATGTATTTCATAAGTGCGTAATTCGATTTGAAAAGCTCTCTACGGGTTTTACTGGTGCCCAAGAGTACTATGAGAACGTAATTTAAGATATTTGTTCTATATACTATGCACGAATGTAAAGAATTCTGTCCAATTTACGACTTTTGTGTGAAATGTCTTAAGCCCCGCTTTAAACCCACTAAGCCAAGTAAGTATATTTGTTGTGGTAAAAAAATGCGAATAGAAGAGGATACGTCAGCGCAGTGTTACGAATGCGGCAAAAATATCGCAAACGCCGTACCAAATGCTACCAGAGAGCAGTATTACGCCAATGGAGGTCGTAAGAAAACACCTTATAAGAGAATAAAATACTTTAGGGACTGGATGAGTCACATCCAAGGTCTTCGACCGGTATATTTAGAAGAGTATATTTTTGTACGTCGTTTCGACAACCATTTTCGACAACCTTTTCCCCTACGATGTGGGTATTCCTGGTACCTATATTTTTGCGTTAGTGCTGCGCTGGGAGGATGCGGATATTTTTTGTAGCCTCCAAAGGGAGGAACGAATCGTGCCCCTGCARCAACCCCGCACACTATAGTAGTCCAAAAGCTTCTATCCTCTAGTATAGAGAATGGAAGACCAAAAGAGCATTTCGACAACGTTGCAGGAGATGGGTATACGTGCAAAGAGTAGACTGCTAGCACATTTGCTGCTGGACAATGCCCACGATGGAAACCTCTTGTCCGATATATCCCAATGCCAGTATTTGGAAGGAAACGTAGGACCAWCTAGCCTACGACCTCGATCTTTCTGGGCTTCCACCCTTCGTAGACGATGTATTTGTCTATGGTTTTGTTTCCGAAGAGAATTTGTATGKAAAGAAGCTACTATGTAGGAATGCAAAGGCAATAGTATCGAAAATATCCACTGCAGCCACGGAGACATTTGGTATGTTTTTGCCAACTAGTTTGGTGCACACCTGCAGAAATGGAAACATAGTACGGAACATCGCCAAGATAGATTCTGGATACAGATGGAGTAGCATACATGGCGTAGAGTCTACTGGATACTTCGTAGCCGAAGTAGATACCTCAGAGCTTCCTATATAAGTGGTAGACCAAAAGATTTCCAAATTTGGATTCCTACTACATGCCCACGGATATGGAATATACTCCATAGACTACACGCAAGACTTCTCCGGAACTTTGGATAGAGCAGCATTGGTACGTCGTTTGCAGGAGTTGGGATACGTGCTACAGCATAGTAGCGGTAGGCGCAATGGTACGATATTGGAAAATACACATACTGTTGGAGAACATGTATGTACTTGGATGGAAGATGGAAAGAGGACGAAGATATACAACAARATAGTCTCCAACTTCGAAGCCGGAGAAGTGCAAAACCCAGTAGGTGCAAAGCTTGCAGAGTATGTAGACTGTCCAAACGAGCATCTTMGRAAGACATTCCTGCACCCAGATGTGCAAGCAAGAGGATGCACAAGGGTAGAAATATCCATCTACGGCAAAGGCTTCTMCAAAAAACACACCAATGCTATTGCGGAAACGATAGAACCCCTACAGGACATATTTGTTGTGCAGCCACCCAAAAATATGTGGCTTGCCCTTGCAAAGTGTTTGGATAGGTGTCTTTGCATCTGCTGCGAAGAAACACAAGAGATATTCCTTGCTTGGTACTGCAATGTGGCAACTGGACGTATAGCAGGAGTACGAGTGCGAGGAAACGAGAAGTGGGAAGAGTGTGTACTTTGGACAATAGCAGAGTTTGGCCTTCGTCGTTGTCCAATCTTTCGCATAGATGTCCTTGGGACRGAGCAAGTAGAAATAGCTCCTTTGCGTTGCTACACCAAAGACTCTCCTACGATATTGGCAGAGTCCAAGTTTCCTACCCGCGTACACAAGGATTCCCCTACCATCGCAGAAATGCTACCCCCTGCGGAACATGTAGAATGGGTTTGGCGAACAAAGAAAGCACAAAASATAGGCGTGGACAAAAGCTCCTTTGGCATACTAGAAGTACCCTCCAATAGAAGAATATCCTTCCTGTCCAAAAAAGGACGCATGCTACTGTTGGAGGACATAGCAGATAGCCTGGAAGGGGACGAGTGGGCAGAGGCTATGAAGATATACCATTCTGAGCTACTGGAAAGAAAGAACAACATCCTGAAGAGGACAKGAAGGCCTTGGAAGAAGCATTGGCAAAGCATACGAAAGTCGTAGAAAGAATGGGAAGGAGAACAGACAATCTGCGGAAGCTGTTCTTTGGCGAGGACGACCAWAGACCAAAGGTGCACAGGATGCAAGAAATACCTCCAGGAGAGTACAAGATACTGGGATACATAGTACCAAGGCAAATAGATCCTACTTGGCCAGCAAGAGGACACCGCGTAGCGCTACGTAGAGAGAAGACATGCGTCGCATGGGCTACGGAAGCGATCCTAGAGGCCTGCAGAGACGGAAAGTTCGAAGAACGTTACAAAATACACACMGCCATACCMMAGGAAGARGTATTGGTAGAATGGTACAATGGTGTTGCCAAAGCCTTTGTACCCGAAGGACYGGGGTTGGATACRTACYACGAGTTGGTTTCCAAACTACGTACTAGCATATCCAAATATCCCGGTAGGCTGCGGCAAGTAGACGCACCGCCCAACAAGGAATGTATACAAGCTTTGCACATGCAGGAAGGGGAATACCAATGCAGGCAATATGCAAAGACTTCGTATAGGAAGAAGGAAAGGACAATACTATTCCTGTCGGAGAAGTGCCCAGAGTGTGTATTGGAGGGCTGCACCGCCGAACATACTACTACCCCTGTTTGGGGCCACTTCTTGGAGCAAGAGGCACAAAAAATAGGCTGGGAGAATGCCCCGCCATTGTATTGCAAGATAGGCAGGGAAAAGACTACTGCTAGCAAAAGAAAGGATAGGATAGTACATCTCTCTATTCCATCTCTGGAATCCTAGACTTCTTCGCGGRCTCCGGGACGTAGTATATCTTCGGAGTCTCCTTTGGCTGCAGCCATGCAAGCCCGCCCACTACTAGAGCTGCAATACCCAAAAGGGTAGAGCCAGCCATTTGCCAGTCTATTTTTTCCACTACATCCTCTATTTCGTCGGAMAAATCTTCTATATCTTCCTCTGCAGGTATGTTTTGTACTTGGTCCATCCTAGCAAGCAATTCCATTTTCGCACTCCGCAGCTCTTCTTTGGTCTCGCGGAGATCGTCCAACACTATCGCAAACGAATCCTGTACCTCCTGGAAATGCTTTTGGGTATCTGCAATAGACAGCTGTGGTGGTTTGGCCATTGCTAGCTCTAGACCATTCTCTTTTTCCAGCCTGCGTATCTTGGGTATGCCTATGCTATACTTCTTTGCCACCTTCTGCAGACCCATGCCATTCTTTCTATCTTCCAACGGCTCCTGTATCTCCTCTTCGGACATATCTCTAGGTGTAGCCATATATATGTAGGCATGGTAGTATACATGCTAGGAAAGGATAGAACCATACGTATCCTCTTGGACGTATTGGAGGGCTTCTACAGAGCACAAAAGACGTTGCAGGACGTTCGCATACCAGGCTACGTGGCCACCCTGGCACAGCTACCACGACATAGATASATTGTTCGGATACGGGGAAGGCGACTCGCCGCCCATAGGGCTTCTACGGAGCGGCTACCTACTAGGGGRTACGATTCGTTCCTCCCTTTGGAGGCTACAAAAAATATCCGCATCCTCCCAGCGCATCACTAACGCAAAAATATAGGTACCAGGAATACCCGCATCGTAGGGGAAAAGGTTGTCGAAAATGGTTGTCGAAACGACGTACAAAAATAATAATACTCTTCTAATAGTACTCTTGGGCACCAGTAAGACCCGTAGAGAGCTTTTCAAATTGAATTACGCAGGCAATACCCATAGCGACCTTACGGGTAATACCCGCGGGGTACTCAATGGTACTTGGCGGGGGTAATACCCGGCTCGCACGGTACCCCCTCCGCGAGTCCCCCTTACTGCTGCTTAAAATGTCTTTTGAAGTTGGGTTAGCGTGGTGTCTTCATCAGTAACAGACAAAGAACGATTTTAAAGAGATTTCTGTCCCCTTCTCCAGTGATAACTCCCATACTTACCGTTAAATCGGGTTTCGTTTCAGTTAATGGACCAAAAGTAGCTGCCACGTCATCATGGKCATCGTCACCAAACAAACTTATCAAAACAATCATTTTAAAAAGCGTTAAAAGTTACCACAAAAAGTAAATAAGTTTAACTTGTTCATTTTTATGCATCTTTTAAAATACTTACGATTTGTGAGCTGATATACCCTGATCATCTGGAAAAAAAACAACAATGGCTTAGTATTAGTTAGTTAGTTAGTTAGTAAGCAAGTAAGGGTTAGAGAACGTAGCACGATATTTTGTTATAATTTTGGTGTACCATGTACACATGTCATACAACAGTTCTACTTACTTTCTTGTGATGTAGCTTCACGAACGTCCTTGCCAGTTAATGGTTCATTCACAGTGTTTTCTTCGTCTAGAGGTGGGGGCCCCTCATTTTCGTTTTCACTTTCATCTGAATAATTTGTTTTCGATGTGTCTTGCTGAGTTTCGATGTCTTTATATTCTTCAGTGTGATTTATTCCTGTGGGTTCAATGCTATCTATCGATTCGATATCCTCATTTATTTTTACATCAGATGATGATGGCTCCTCAGTGCTGACGGGGTCTTCACACCTTWGACTTACATCCCGATTCTCGCCTGTATCTTGACTGGTTTCGCTTTGATTATCGTTTCTTTCAGATGATTTCTCTCGCTCATGACTTTGTGTTTCTGTACATGTTTGTTCCTTTGCTTCGAATAGTCCAGTATTATCAGACACAAGATAGGTTTCTTTCTCTGATTTACTAATGTCTTCGTCTTCATTTTGTCGAATATCATGGACATCTTCACCCTCTTGCTCTTCTTGCTCCACATTTTCTCTGTTTTCACTTTCTTTATGTCCTTCTTCATCTTCCTCGTCTTCTCCTTCCCCTTCCCCTTCCTCTTCTTCATCTTCCTCGTCTTCTCCTTCCCCTTCCCCTTCCCCTTCCTCTTCTTCACCTTCATCTTCAGTATCATCATCCTCTTCAACACCATCAGGTTTTACATTTACCTGTTTTAGTGTTACTTCCTGCAAAACACAAAAACGATTTTGGATGTAGCAAAAATCGATATGTTGTTATGTCATTTTCCTACTGCCAATGGCACTAGGACGTCCGTCTCTCCGATCTGCATGTTATTAGCGGTCGAGATGATTTCAGAGGTTTACACTTTCCAAAATATCTTCTTAAATTCAAACCGTTTGAATTCAACATGAACCTATCTGTAGACCCCTCACACAAAGTCAAAATGTTGAAAATATTAACGTAAAGTGATTCCTTTTGTTTTGAACTTCAGGGAAGTAGGGTTTTCCTTGTGTTACGCGCTTTTCGAGTTGTGCGCTCGGACACAACAGACTGATTTAGCATCGGGATGGCGACGCCGAAGACGACGTGACGGCGCGCGGTATAGACTGCGACGTYCTACACGTCCCGTTCAGGACGGCGTTTGCAGTCATTTGACGTCGCGAAGAAAACGTGTAAAGTAAGTAGTCTTTAATTTTCTTTTATAGCCTAGAAGGTGATATAATAAGCAAATGCTTGACTTTAAATACTTGCCAATTAGTTCACTAGATAATTCAATTCGTCTAAAATTCATTTTACTTCACAAATGGAAAGAAAATACGTGGATAAGCTTACTATCAAGGTAATAGCGAAATATCACAGCTTCCAGTTACCGGTGTAATAAAACTGTTGCCCCTGTAATTTWAAAAAAAATTGTTTTATTGAAGAAATTTTAAAGAACAACTCGACTAGGTGCTAGCTTATCAAGGTTATTACTACTACTAACAACAACAACAACAACAACAACTAATGTTGTGCTTTAAAAGCTTTATAAATATTTATATCTTATCACATCTTCCTTGTTGTTTTTTCATTCCAGTGATGTGTCAAGAGGACTGTTCTTATCGATATTTTAGTCATATAAGATKAAAYTTTGTAATCCTAATTTTTMTCATCTTCCATTATAATAGCCCATTGTAATTGGTAAAAACGAAGAAATAGGATGGAAGCTGAATCAAAGAAAAAGTAAGGCTCACTGCATAATAAGACTTACAAATTTAACATTATTTACAATGTAAACATCTCATGCAAAAATAATCATTAGAAATACCATTTAAATTTCTTTATACAATAACAGAAATTATATTATAAAAACAAAATAATTAAGTATAAGCTCATAAATATTAAGTAATCTAAGTATAATATAATAGTAATATATACAATGGTACTATACAATTATAACACTACACTTTTATCTCATGATCAACAAAAACGTCATGAGCTGTTTTATAATTGGCTTATATTTTTCTATCTTTATTTATAGGTCAGTAATGACTTGGGGTGAAACTAAAGACTTGATGATGTTGA